AAAAAAAAAAAAAAAAAAAAAGACAGACGGAAAAGTATAAGGGGAGTGATGAAAATCTTCTCCCTGTTGAGACTTTCACTTCTTTTCTTCTTTTTCTGATCTTTTTTTTTTTCGTATTTATTTCTCTCTTTCAAGCAATACTGACAGGGGGATGAGGAAGTGAAGGAAACCTCACACTATTGTGTGTTATTTCCCTTTTTTTTTTGTTTTTATTGTTTTTTATGAGAGGGAATGGATGTACGTACATACCCTTTCTCTTTTTTTTTTTCTGTTGTGTAATCTCTTTTTTTTTAAAGGAAAGAGAGAAGAGAAGAGAAAATAGGTGGTTTGTCCGGTTACTTTTTAGTTTTTGCTTTTTCGATGTTAGCAGTTGTATATAGTGTTATATATATATATATTATGTAATGGTATGATGATATGACTGTACTGTGATTGAGAAAGGAGAGGGATGATAGTAGTGGAAAGTGGGAATCCAATAACTATATTAGTGAACATACAGAGAGAAAGAGAAAGAAAGAAAGAGTTGGGGTGTTTTTTTTTTTTTCTTTAGCTTTAATCCCCTTCTCCTTTATTTCCTTCTTCTTTTTTCTTTCTTCTGTTTGTGACTGTGTTGTTTTTTATATTATTATTATTTTTTTATTTTTATTTTTAATCGGCGTGTGATCTCCTCGAATGGTCTTTTTGTTTTTTCGATTTTCCATTCTTTCGATTAATGAGGGTGTGTGAAGGGGGATAATAAAAGGAGAAAAGACCAGGAACGTTAAAAGAGGTGTAAAAAAAAACAGATGAGGACTTATAATGAGATTGTCGGCAGTAATGTGTAGGTGTCTATACATTTGTAGGCGTGTGCCTACGTTAGTTGTCGCGATGATGGGGATAAAATAAAATAATAAGAAGAAAAATAAAGTTATTAAGAGTATTAAAAAGAAATAAGTAAAACAAAAGTTGACTTGGATATTATTATTATTATTATTATTATTATTATTAGTCTATGTGATTCCCACCCTTCTCCTCTCTTTCTCTTTTGAGCATGCGGTCGAACGTTTAGTAGTCCCTCTCCACATGTCATCTATTTATCTATTTATCTATCTATCTATGTGTAGATATCTATATATTAATATAACTATAGATATTGCACTAGGGTGGGTACTATATGGATGCTGTTGTGAGGGGATCTTCTTTTTTATGTTTTTTTTCTTCTGCTTCTTTTATTTTGATGTGTTTTTCCTTTATTTTCTTATTTTTATTTTCCCATCTTTTTCTCCTTGTTTATATGTATTATTATTCTGGATTCTATTGCTTACCTTCATTGTTTTTGTTTTTGTTTTTCTTTATCTTTATCTCTTTCTCTCTTTCTTTCTTTATTTCCCCAGTAACACTGCTATAGGATTTCAAACGCATCATAGAGTTCCACAAAAAGAAACACAGAAGGACCACCAATTTCTTAGTGACATTCGACAACAAGAACAACATTAGGATCAGAAAGAAAAAAAAACAAAAACAAGTTCTCCAATCGGATAGTACACAGTAAACAAACAAAGAAAGAAAGAAACAAGGAAGTAAAACAACAAAAAAAGAAAAAAAAACCGTGCAATGGGACATATTGCTCCTTTGATTGAACCCAGAGAGGGCTATGTCGAGAACGCCGACGGTGTTCGTTGTATGGTGGTGGTAGACCCTAAAACACGGAAATTGTTAATTCCAGAGAATTATGTGTTACCCACACGTGCCCAACAACGCACCACTATTCCAAGTCTCTGTCAACTCTTCGTGGAGAATCGCTGCCGCTTCGGTTCGCAGTGCCATCAAGTTCACGCCGATCTCACCGTGGTGAATGAACTGCGTAATCAAGTGAAGAGTCTTCCCCAGTGCTGCACCCTGCACGGCGATGAGGATATTGGTGGTGTGATGCAAGAAGGATCGTGGCTCTCCAACGTGGTGGTGCACATCCCTGAAAGTACATATGAAGGCGGATATATTCCGCTCAGTCGTGTGGGGTACACCGTCCCGTTGGCAAGGATGCTGAATGAACTTCCTATTGAGGCCTTCCGTCCTTTGAATCCATATGAACAGACATCCGAGGATGGACGTCCACCACGTGTGGTGCTGGAGGCGGATACGATTCCCATTTGCCGACTTCACAGCACATCGCGTTGCAGTTACGCGGAGGAGTGTAACTTTTTGCATCTTTGCAAGGAAGTCGTGGAACACGATGCGGATCTTCCCTTGGGACGCCGATCTGGCTGCAGAGCCACACAAAGGACACGAAGCTTTTGCGTGGCTGAGCAGTCCACCACTTCCCACATGCTCTCGTCTCTCTCCATGTCGTCCTCCAACATCTTTGGCCCCTCGCCGCATGGACGCTCGACGTCTGTGCGGGGCTTTCCGCTCGTGCAGCGGGCCGGCGAGGGGTGGCGGAGCCCGGCGGGGAATTCCTTCTCCTTCAGCGGCGACGCGCTCTCGTGGGTGGCCGGCCACTCCTCCACCTCCAGCACCTTTGGCTATCCCCGGGAGGTGACCATGCGGGACCGACTCCCCATCGCCGCGGCTTCGCTCTCCTCCTCCTCCCCCGCCACTGCCACTGCGGCAAACAACAGCAATAATAACAACACGACGACGACGACGACGGCATCGGCAGCGCGATCACTCTACTCCCCCATTCCCGCGGGATTCGAGCGGCGGAAGATCACTGTGGAGCTCGAGCCGCATCCCTTCCCGTCGCTCTTGGGCGAACTGGACCCCCCCGCGCAGGTGGACGGCGCCGGCGACTCCCGCCACAGTGGAAGTGGACTGCACGCCTCGCCCATTTCCGTTCGGACGGTCTTTTCGGATTCGTTGGGGGCGCCCAGTCGCGATGAGGGCGCGAGCACGTCGTCGAGTGGAGTGTCCGCCACCCACCGCTGCCGCACTGCAGGGAAGTGGAGGCACAACCCATACGACAACACTATTTTGAGGGTTTCTGTCTAAGGTTTTTTAAAGGGCCAACATGCTTCTTTTTCTCTTTTTTTCTTTTGTTTCATTTTCATTTTCATTTTCATTTTTTTTTTT